ATCCCCGAGTGCCTAGAATACTTCCAAAACACGGGCAAACATGGGTTTTGCCTGCAACTGGAAAGAATGGAGAGTTGGCAGCCATAAGGTATTGCAGCCTCAGCGACTGGGGAAGGGTTAGGGGAAGGTAAAATACAGCAGCTTTGCATCACAAATACCAGTGTTCCCTAAGCTGATGTGTTGGACTGCAGTTCCCATGATGCAAGTTGAAAAGTTCCCATGGGGGTTAACCTCATATTAAGCCTGGGGAGGCATTTCAACAGATGAGGCATGTGTCATGAGCTCTTCACATCTTCAAGCCACATTTTTTCCTTTGCAAAACGTTGATTGGCCAAAGTGTTTTCCAGAAGCGCATTTACCCGGGATGAACCTCTGACCATCCACAGAGTGTCTGTTGAACCCAATCTAGTATTCACCTCCAGGAACAGTCCTTATGAGCATGCTTGGGCCCCACCCCTTTGGGAGAGGCCTTCTGACAGCGAGCACGCCTCCTTTCCACGTGCCGATCCTCAAGTTGGGCCACCCTCCGCTGATGCTGCGCTATGGGGTCAAGAGCCATGCCGCCTCACCTGAGTTTGAGAAACCTGGGGAGCCTGGCCTCGAGATAAGCACCTCTCCCTCTTTCATCTCAATTTCTAGAATTGGCCTCCATTCTGAACTCCCCCCCCCCCCCCGACTGCTCCTTCTCCTCTGAGTCTAGATTAGCCTGCCCTGGGAATGCGTGCCAAGGCCAACTGCCCCCCCCTCCATCTCAGCATCATGAGCAAACCCACCTGCTGATGGCAGAGCTTGTGTTGCTGCCGCTGCGTGAAGCTGCTCTCTCAGGGCTCCGGGGGCTGCGATCCCATCACACGACCTCCATCCCTGCCACCCCAAGCCCAAACCTGGAGACCCTCTGTGTGGAGCAAAAGCAGAGTGGTGGGATCTCTAGACACGGTGAGGATGGAGGGCACCTGGTGATGGAGCGCTCGGTGGCTCGAGGCCCCATGAGATCTTGGCACACGGACGAGATCTTGGGAGAGTCGCAAGCAGCAGCTTCTGCTTCGGGCAGCCTTGGGAGCTGCTTTCCTGCCGCCACACTTGCCACGGTGGACAGTGGCTTGCTGGGTTCTGTGCAGGGGCTGCTTGAGGAGGTGGTGGGTTGCCCGGGTTGGAGACTGGGAGACTGGTCTGTCCCAGTCCATCTCTCTTTTCACACGGCCACCTCCTGCAGGCACCTCGCCCTGCTTCATGGGTGGCACCCTCTGAGTGTGGGGCAACCACACACCATCAGGTATAACTCCAGAGCTGCGGGGAGGTGGCGTCGGTCCAGCGAAGGCCCTTTATGGACTGGGGACTGGCCTGGGGACCTGAGCGCCAATCCTGACCTGATGCTGAGTCCATGTGGTGCATTCACATGCATACCTGCATATCAAAATGTCTTTGTGCGTTCGCGTACACACACACTCGTTTAACTGTGTCAGCTCAAACGCCAATCTGTGCTGCTTGCAGTTTGAACAAAGAGGCTGCTTCCATCAAAGAACAATAGAAATCCCCCTTAAAGTATGCCATAAGGGTCGGTTGTGTATACATATAAATATGCTACCCGTTTTTGTGTTTTGGGTCCAGCCTGCGAGCATGTGCTGGAGGGGCAGAGGGTCCTTTCGCGCTTGCAGGGATGTTCTCTGGATGATTTTCAGTAAATGAGACAAGATCTTTAGTTCTCTAACGACTGAAGCAGCTCTACCCTAAATTTTACAGCTGGGAGGTTAAGATAACTAAGAGGCAATGGATTTTGTAGGAGGGCCTCTGAGCTCTATGCAGTCTTGATACTCAGAAACAAACTTCGGGGTCAGAATTTTTGATTCGAAGTATATGGCTTTTGTACAAGGCTCTGGCTGGTGGATCCCGAGATTCTAGGAACCTCAAGATTCTAGTAACACCCCCTACATGTAGATCCTCCAAACAAGAAATCTGCCCACCTCATCATTATTTTTAATGAGCACAGGACAGCCTTCCCAGATTTGGCCCTGTCCATATGTTGGGCTGCAACTCCCATCATCCACAGCCATACTGGCTCTACAGTGACTGGTTTGATGTTTTCAAGGCCACCCCAAGCAGGGCGTGAGGGCAACAGACCCGACATTTTCCCCATCTGCTAGAGTTCAGAAATAGATGGATCGGGGCCAGCCCAAGCAGCTTTGGAGCCAACGTCTGGTTTGAAGTTAGACCAGGTGGACTTCGAACCCAGTCAGGTCATGGCAAGCTCCGGGGCTGGAACTCAGCCCTGAAGGAGCACGGAATCGGCCTCTGTTGCAAGAGCAGTCCTTAGCAGAGGCTTCTGATTTGCACCCTGTGACTATGAGGCCCCTTCTCTGCATTTAAGCTGGTGCAGAAATGGAGATCCTTTGCTGGGAATGTCTGGGAATGGTTTCCTGCTTGGTCTTTTGTCAATGTCGGACTCCTGCCTGTCTTGAATCCTCTCCTATTAAGGCCTGGAATTAAGGTCTGTTAAGAACTGTCCTAGAATCGGTGGCTGGATTTGAATTGACTTCCAGGCTGTGTGAATTCGAGGCTTAGAACTTTCTCTTGAACAAAGCAATGTGTTAATTGCATCCATGGGGTGGGGTGGAGTGGGGAGAGTGTGATCTACTTGCTCTGAACTTTGCAGCAAGCTCTGGAAAACTGTCCTGCTGTGATAAAACTTACTCTTTGCACCCTCTGTCCAGCTGCCATGAAGTACAGATTCTACAGATATTCTCCCCCACCGATTCTATTGAGAGATGACAGCTAACATCTGCCCCCGAATTTACCTAATCCTCTTTTAAAAAGCCATCTAGGCCCCCCCTTGCTGCATTTTGAGGCAATGAACTCTATAACTCAGTTTGCATTCCATAAATATATTAGTATGGATTATTTGAGAAATACCATTTTTTTCCTATCCTGAATTTCCTGCCCATCTGATGCTTGGGTAATCCAAAGAACTAACTCCACGAGAAAGCAAAGAAGAGGTTCTCTCTGGTTGTTTTTGTCTGAGATTTGATCTAAGAGGGACCCACCATCCGTAAGAATGGGGGCACCACCTGGAAATAGCTCTGCATATCATTTGCAAGTACTGGAAAGGTTGCCACAAAGAAGAGGGCTGAGATCTTCCCAGAGTGCAGGACATGGAATAACAGACTCAAGTTCCAGGAAGCCAGATTTTGGTATCAGGAAAAGTTTCCTGACCGTTAGAGCAGGACACCAATGTGGAATAACAGACTCAGGTTCCAGGAAGCCAGATTTTGGTATCAGGAAAAGTTTCCTGACCGTTAGAGCAGGACGCCAATGTGGAATAACAGACTCAGGTTCCAGGAAGCCAGATTTTGGTATCAGGAAAAGTTTCCTGACCGTTAGAGCAGGACGACAATGTGGAACCTATGACCTAGAGAGGTGGTGGGCTCTCCCACACTGGAGGCATTCAAGATGCCACTGGACAGCCATCTGGGTGAGAAGGTTTAATTAGGGGTCTTGCATCAAGCAGAGGCTTGGCCTTCTGGCCTCTTTCAGCTCTGGAATTCCATTCTATGATCATTCGTGCTGCCACGGAAGAAAGGCAGTGTGGCACATGGGCTTGTGCGCAGGACGAAAGGAGGTGGTGCTGCTGAGCATGGCTCAAACCCTGCTGAACTACTACGCAATCCACTCATCCACATACTCACAAAATGCTGGCCAGACAAAAAAAATCTGAAATCCGTACCAGTGAGTTAGACTAAATATGATCACGAAATATGTGCAGGCTTTCAATCCCCAGATGTAATCTAACGTGATTCTTTACATCTTGCCTGATGAATAGATTTGTAGACCTTGAAACCTTTCAGACTGGTTGCAATCTTTGGGTTGCCCTAATAAAACATATAACACTGATATAGATTTTGGAAGAGTTACTAATTAACCTCCAACCAGCCTTGGTTTTCTTCAGCCTACCAACCTTGCAGGGTTATTGTGAAGATAAAAGTTGGAGCGTGCACGTGGTCTTGAGATCCTCGGAGGAAGCTTTCCTTTTTAATTTATTTTCCATTTTTTTCTACCGGCACACTTTTTGCCCTTTTCACAAAAGCTGGGCTTGCATCCGGATTTTAGTGCAGGCCACCTCTTGCTCTCTCTGCCTCCCAAAACGTGGTAACAAAGGCTGGGGGCTGGCAGGGCATCACAGACTGGGGTGAGTTCTGATATGCAGAATCTCCCCCAGTGGGGCAGCTTCCCAGTGTCAGTTTACACATCTTTTCCATCCGGACGCAGAGAGACAGGCGAGGAGGCGTTTAAAAGTTTAAACCAGTTCTTCCATCCAGTCCTGGTACTGGTCCTTGACGGACTGGAGCGGTTCTAAGGAGTTCCACCGGCTGGAAGAGCGATGCAGGGCTTATAAGAGCAGTCCGGTAGGTTTCATCCCGCTGCCTTTCAGGAGCCGAATCGCCACAGGCCGCCCGCTGCCTTTTGGCCGCAGGGCGCTGCAGAAGCGGGGGGCGCACGATCGGGGGGCAGCGACGAAGGACGCTGCGCTCGGGGCGCTCCCGCTTTCGGGCTTCTGGCTCCCCGCAGCCCCTGCTGCTGCGCGCGTCTCCTCGGAAGCAAGCCCCGCCGCGTCCCCGGGAGCGCATCGGACGCCCCGCACCCCCCCCCCGCGGAATCGGGGCGACGGCGCCCCCCCCGCCGTGTGCGTGTGTGTTGGGGGGTTCGCTTGCGCCAGGGGGCCCACCAACTTCACTTTTCCGGCGGGCGGGGGGGGCGGGCGGTCCTCCCGGGGGCGCCCCGATCCGTGCGGGAACTGCACGGGCACCTCGCGGGGGGGGGGGGGGGGGGGGGGGGAGGGAGCGAGGGGGGGAGGGAGGGGAGGGGAGGGGGAGGAGGCTGGCTCTGCCGAGCAGGGGGGCGGCGGCGGCGGCGGCCTCGGCGATCATGCGGAGGAGCCGCGCTCTGGTCCCAGCCGCGGAGGAGACGCGCCGAGCAGCCGCCGCCCGCCGCCCCCGGCGCCTCCCGGCATGGACGGCAAGGCGGCGCCCAACGGCGTGGCCACCATCGAGGACCGCATCCTGCGCATCACCGGCTACTACGGCTACTACCCGGACTACTCCAGCCGCAGAAGTAAGACGGGGCTCCGCGCGCGCCGGGGCCGCGCTCCCCCCCCCACCGTGCGCGGGCGCGGGGCTCCCCGCGCCTCGTCCCGGCCCCCCCCCGCGCCCCGCTTTTGCAAGCTGCCGTGAAAGCGGCGGCGGGGGGGGTGCTTTAGGGACGTGGCCGTGGATGCGCTGGATTGCGGGAGGAAGAGGCGCAGGGCCCCCCCCCCCCCCCCGCCGGTCTCTGCCCGGCCCCGCCACCGCTCTGCATCTTCCCGCATCTGGGTGATTGGCTGTGGATGATGGCTTTCCTAGCCCCGTGCTCGCAATGTGCTTGTTCTTGGAGGTTTGCTTTTTTAAGCGTGGAACAGACTGCAAGGTGTGTGCGTGTGTGTGTGTGTGTGTGCGCGTGCGTGTGCACGTGTACAGGAGAGGGCGGGTTCGCACGGACGGGACTTGCGCGCTCTGGATGGCTGCCGCAGCAAAGGTTGGCCGGCGCGGGTGCGCGTGTGAATGCGCTGCCACGGACTCGCCACGACACACGATGCGGGGAAGGAGATCCCGCGAGGTTCGTGTGTGTGTGAAATGCGGGGCGAGAGAGGGATTTCTGAAACGACGCACGAGGGGCACAGAGGCCAAAATCCTGCCCCCCCCCCCCATGATATCACGTAATACTGAAATCGGGTTGGGGGGTATTTCAGGACAGCGAAAAGCCGCTTTTCCAGTCTTGAGCCCCTTCCTGGATGTGTTGGATTACAACCCCCGTCACTGCTGGCTGGGGACACGGGTGTTGTAGTCCAGTGGGGTCTGTGCCTGGAGCATGGGACAAGCTGTTTGAATGGAACCTCCATGCTCAGGGGCAGTCTGTCCTTTTCTTTCAGGACTCAATCCTAGGCGTGCTTAGAAAGGAAAAAGCCTCACATCGTCCAGGTTTTCCCAGCCAGTCATGCTGGGAATCACAGCGCCTTTTCTAAGCATGAACAGGACTATGCCCCAACCTTCCCTAACCCTGGAAGGAGGCCAAAGTAATTCCATCTGATCACCCACCTGCCACAAAGATCCCGGACTTTGCTGCAGTGCAACCTTCCCAGTAAAGTTTCTGGTGTATTTATAGCCAGCGTCGAGAAACCGTTCTTGCAGAAAGCTCAGAAGGGGGGAACAAGTGTGAACGAAATGTAAAAGTAACAGATCTCCTTATTCATCCACAGTTCTAGCCAGTTGCACCTTGGATCTGCCCCACTGGGTCCCCCAGCTTGCGGGAGGAGAATCTGGGGACCTGACTAGGCTCCATGAGGAAAGGGGAATTAGTCCGCCCGTGGTTCCATTCCATGAATAGTTTTCACATCATCATCGTCATAAACGATACAGTTTGTGACCAACATTATACAGTGGATTTGTATTAAGGTTTCCATTAGACCTCCATATATTAAGAAAAATATCAATAATAATGTAACCATGTGACATAATCATGTAACAAGCGCAAGGAGCAGTGTTATTTTAGCTGGCGTGTGAATTTAACCGATCCTGGCCTGAGGCTTGAATGTACTCTGCGACTTCACCATTGAAACTAGATCGATTTCTAGGCTTAATTTGGAGTATGTTACACACAGAAAAATTCTGGGAGGTGCATGTGTGCTTTTAGCAGTGTTCGGAGCAATGGAATGTGAGCAGGTGAAGTTTCTCTTGTCGACTTTCTCTCCATGCCAAGAGCAAACTTACTCCTTGAAATCATGCTTCTGCAGTGGCTAACGGTAGAGGAGCGTTGCCAGGAAAAAAGTTGGCTACCCTTTTTCAGAAGGTGTGAGTGGTTTGCCATGGCTTTGGTTCACAGTCCGGAAAGATATTATTTGCATAGCTTATGGGCCAATAGGAGGTGGAGAGAAGGGCGACACCAACAATTTTGGATGGCTTACCGATTTATTTCTTCTTCTAATGGGACGCTATGGGAGATTGGCTGCCTGTTTTGTGCTCTTATAGCAGGAAGCGCATTTTGTCTCTCTGCAAAGAAAATAGAAATGATTTGTCACTGGCATGAGACGATGATTCTTCATTTTTCTAATGCACAGGTCTTGGCTTCCCGGTGTTCTCACTGTAGTGGAAACTGAAGTGTGTGTCTTTTTGCAATTCCAGCTGAAAGCATGAAAGAGCTTGCTAAGTGTGACGAGGCGCTTCATCTGTCGGCATCTTAAATTTCTTAAATAATGGGGCACACTGCACATGTCTGCAGCAGTGGGGGGGGGGGCAGCCAGGTTCAGTGGAGGGCCAGGAGTGCAGGACCTTCTCCTACTTGTGGTGGGGGGGGGGGCGTGCATGGCATTTCAGCGAAGCTGCATTCTGGGTGGGAAGGGGCCGGGGGCCAACCGGTTTGGAAAAAGGTCCCAGCCTGCTTCGGCTGACAGTTCTTGCTGTCCCCAGCGAACCTGTAGGGAGCGATATTCCAGCCCAAATGCTAGGAAACCATCAAGCAGTCAGTGCTTCGGGGCATCCCCGATTTGGCCCCCAGCATGGATGATAGTTGGGAATTCTGGGGGCTGTAGTCTGTGACATCCAGAGGGCAGCTTGTGCGACACCTTTCTGTGTGAGGGCTGGGTGCAGATAAAAGGCGGGTCTCTACAGGTGCAGTGGCTTGGTAGTGAGAGAAATGTACTCTGGTCATGCTCAGAGGCTAGCTCTACATTTCAGGATTAGGCCTTTGATCTAGGATTGTGATGACAGCTAGCTAAATTTCTCCAGGTCAATCTTATCCAGCCTAGTGGCTGGCTGGTGTGGACAATGGGAGTTGTAGTCTGGGACATCTGAAGAGCACTAGGTTGGGGAAGACTATTCAAAAAGAGGGCTCCTAGCCCTGCTGCAAGGCTGGTGCCTTCCAGATGTTTTAGACTACAAATCCAGTATTCCTGGCCACGGGTCATGCTGGCTGGGGTTGCTGGGTGTTGTAGTCCAAAATATTGTTTAAATTCCAGGTTGGTAGAGGCAGATGTAGGCGCTGGGAAAGGGTTGCCACCCATCTTTTGTCTGCAGAAGGTCACGGGTTCAACCTGTGGCAACTCCAGGGAGAGCCGGGCCTGTTGTCAGCTTAATTAGGGAGGCTGCTGAAAAAGTCGGAGGGCAAGTCCTCTGGTTTTGAGGCTTCCTGAGAGCCGTGTGATGTTGAGAGGCAGTGTGGTGCAGTGGTTAGGGGCATGGGACTGGGACTCAGGCGATCTGGGTTCCAGTTCCCGCTCAGCCATGGAGCTTGCTGGGTGACTTTGGGCCAGCCACAGACTCTTGGCCCAGCCTACCTCACAGGGTTGTTGTTGCGGGGAAAAGATTGAGAGCAGGAGGAGGAGAAGGATGGAAGCTGTCCTGAGTTTTTGGAAGGAAAAAAGGCAGGATAGAAATATAATAAATTCATACTTAAAACAAAGACAAGATTGTAAACTCCATTGCTGTTGCTGCTCTTTTTAATTGGGGGCAGAGAAAATTTGGGGGACAAGCCCCCTTAGCCCACCCCTAGACACAGGCCTAGGTAGGGCTGGAAATATTCCTGCCTGCAGCGATGGCTGCCAGCCAGTGTCTGCAGAACTGGGCTAGAGAGGTCCGCATTCTGACTCTGTAGCAAAGAGCTTCCCATGTTCTTATGGCTGCAGGGACACAAAGCAGCTCCCATCCAAAGTGCCGCAGAGCCACTGTTAGGCTGGCAGTCCAATGGTCCGGGACTACAGCTCCCATGATTCCTCCCCATTGACTGTGCCGACTGATGGGAGCAGTAGGCCAAAACACACGGAGGGTCACAAGGCGGCCAGCCCAGTCCTGGAGAGGGCATGTGGCCACCAGGTCCAGTAGCCATGGGTAGCCCTCTCCAGCAGGAATCTCCGTTGGAAGCCCTCCAAATGGTGCTCGTTACCGCATCCTGTGGCAGGGAGTTCCACAGTGTAACTCCGGGCCCTGTGAGGTCTTCTGTGGACTGGTACTCCTCACTGTCACCTCCTTTACGGGTGGTTTGGTGGCTGCATGACTTTCGCAACCCCCATTCTGAAAGGTTGAATGCCTCTCTGAAGACATATTATTATTATTATTATTATAACATAGCTACTGGGAGGTACCGTCTTTATATTAAAATATCCTGGCACCCTTGGTATTTCCCCTTAGGCATTGCCCACTGCTAAAATGCCCCCCGCCCCCCTGAGAGCGTCTCCAAATAGCATCCGTCTCATGGACTAAAAAGGTTAGACACCTCTGATGAAAAGTATCTGCTTTTCTTCCTCCTCTGACTCAGGCCTGTATTATTTATTTTCCATCCAAAGTGCAAACGATTCCCCAGAAATGAATTACCGAATGGGTTTCTTTGTGCCGCCTTTATAGAGGACTTCAGCTGGTGGAAAAAATGCACTTTTGAGAACGGGGGTGTAAGCGAGGGGCCCTGGTTAATTTCTGCGTTGCCAGCTTGCAATTAGGAACAGTGGTTGTCGGGTCGCAGCCGGAGCCGGCAGGGGCGTGTGCACACACGGGCAGCCCGTGCGTGTGGGCAGCACATTAGATCTCCGTGCAAGCGGAGACGACCTGGCCTTGTTTGTTCATTTAAGCTGCAGACAACAGACATCTCATGAGAAGTGATTCATGGCTGTACCTGGCCAGGCCGTGGCCCTTCGTGGGTTTTCGTGTTTCAGCAGCATGTTCTGTTTGGCACAACCTGGAGATGGCTGCGGAGGAGATGCTCTGGAAAGCCAGTGAGAGGTTTTCTATGGGGCAAAATCCATCGGAGCCCCATTGGGGAGCATGAAAGAAATCTGTGAAAGTATGTGGAAGAAAACTGGGTGATTCCTAAAGGCCGCCCTGTTCTTTTGCTTCCTTAGATGTGTGTCTCTCAGCAGAAACTCAGACACGAGAGACAGCTCTTTCCGAAGGAGCGATGCATCTAATCAGCAGCAGATGAAAGCGCCGATAGAAACTCATCAGCCTTTTGGCTGGTGTGGAAAGTAAAGAGATGCTGGTATCAGAGAAGCACACCGGCAACAATTTGGGAGAGACGATTATGTAAGACGATTG